CCAAGCTTGTGAGGACTTCCCTGGGTGGAATGAGCAGATGAGAACAATGTGCTCCAACAGTCGGGAAGGCGGCTGAAGCAGACGTGGCGGTCAGACGTCAAAGATGCCAAGGTCATCCGCTGCATCTTGGGCCATCTCTGGTTGTCTTGACTTTTGTTCTGCCCCTGGACTTTGATGATTCAGGAAGGGAGAATGAGGCTGAGACTGAGCAACTCTGCCTCACTTGAATCCAATTTCATGCGTAAGTCAAGGTCGTTGGTCCTCTTCGAAAACAAAGGATGAAAAACAACAACACAATATGTTATTATATACCTGCCTATCTTGGAGATATTACAGTTTGGTTCCAGACTGTTGCAATCAACTGAATATCACAACAAAACAAGTTGCACAAATGTTTAGATTTCCCAGTACGTATAAAAGCTATGCTTACACTATACCGTAGTCTAAGTGTGCAATAGTATTGTGTCTAAAAAAAAAAGTACATGCCTAAATTGACAAGTAATTTATTGCTAGAAATAATGCTACCCATCATCTGAGTCTTCAGTGAGTTGTAAGCTTTTTGCTGATGGAGGGTCTCGCCTCAATGTCGGCAATGGCTGCTGGGACTGATCAGGTGGGTGGTTGCTGAAGGTTGGGGGAACTGTGGCATGAAGTTTACCGCATTTATTGACTCCTCCTTTTATAAAGGATTCTTCTGTAGCATGCGATGCTGTTTGATAGCATTTTGCTCACGGCAGAACTTTCAAAATTGGAGTCAATCCTCTCAAAGCCTGCTACTGCTTTATCAACTAACTTTATGGAATATTCTTCAAGATTGTTGTGTCTTGGGAATAAGGAGGCCCAAGGTGGGGGTAGAGAGGGGGGGAGAGAGAGAGAGAGAGAGAAAGAGAGAGAGAGAGAGAGAGAGAGAGAGAGAAAGAGAGAGAGAGAGAGAAAGAGAGAGAGAGAGAAAGAGAGAGAGAAAGAGACAGAGAGAGAGAGACAGGGAGAGAGAGAGAGGAACAGCCAATCAGTGGAGCAGTCAGAACACACACAATATGTATCAATTAAGTTCACTGCCTTATATAGGTGAGGTTCATGGTACTCCAAAACATTTCCAATAGTAACATCAAGGATCACCGATCACAGATCACCATTAACAGATATAATAATAGTGAAAAAGTTTGAAATATTGTGAGAATTACCAAAATATGACACAAAGACATGATATGAGCAGACGTTGTTGGGAAAATGGTGCCAGTAGACTTGTTCAATGCAGGATTGCCATAAACCTTCAATTTGTTAAAAAAAAAAAAAAGGCCATATCTGCAAAGTACAATAAAATGAGGTGTGCCTATACATTACATATATATTTATATCTTTCAGCAAAAAAGTCCTCATCTTTTGCGATGTATTCTCATCAAAAGCTGTCTCCCTCCCTATATTCCCATTTTATAGATGAAGATACTAAAGGTACAGAGAGGTCCTTTGTCCAAGGGTGCCTAGTGAATTGGTGTAGAGCTGAGACTCAAACCCTGGTCTTCTGGCTCCAGAGACAGGTTCCTTGCCTCTTCAGAGGTGGAGACAAGGCAAAGGACCAGTGACTCACATTCCCCTTCACATCAGTGAATGCACCGGCCCCATCCTGAGCTCTTCTGGCCTTTGGCACTGACTGGTTTTCTGCAAACTCATCCTGTCTGCCCTGTATAGGAAGCTGACCTTACATAAGGTTTTCCTTTCTTATTTGTCCACAGAATGTCTTTGGGGGAGTAGGTAAGTAAGGCGTGAACCTCTTTTAGAGACAGAAAAACCAGCCCTAGTGAGGTCCAGTGACTGGCCCCGTGCAATGCCTCTGCTGGGCACCGTCAGTCTCTCCCAGTGCCCCTTTTGCCAGATTGTGTTTTATAGTTGGTCTACATGTGGATCCGGTTTGCCTGTTTTCATGGGTGAACTCCAACACGTAGGTCATTTTCACTTGTCTGTACGATGGAAAGGGGGACCCTCTGGCATCTTGCCAATGCCCGCAGTTACTGACCGCACCAATGACCTCACTATTCCACCTATGACTTGGCTTAGAGGGATGCCACCCTTGGAAGTCCAGGGGCACGGGCCCGAGAAGGGCAGTTCGGAGAAACCCGGATGGCTCCGAAGGCCCTTCCTCACCTCAGTTCCTCTCCCCAAGTCACGAGGGCCCAGCTGACGTTGTCCAGGAAGATGGAGAAAGGCTGGGGCATTGCGGTCACTTGGGGCTCTATTTATACCAGGGACCAGGCCTGTGTTGCAATCTGTTCCTCTAATTGCGGCTGCTATTGGGAGGACGTCACTGAGCCTTTGACCTCACTGGAAGTGCTGATGCATCCCCCTGCATGATGCACAGGGTGCTTGGCCAGGACCCCACACTGTCTGGAGGACCCTGCATTTAGTTGTGGGGGGAGCTGGGGACTGTGTCAGTCTTTGGCCGTTGGAATATGCTGCCGTCTGGCCTTGCCTCCTCTTGCTCTGCACTCCAGCAGGAGGGTGGGACATAGTCAGCGACCATCTTTCCCTGCTTCTGGAGTGAATGGTACCTTCCCCCAAGCCTCCCAAACCAATAATACAGAACCCTGACCCTCCCTCACGGCCCCCTGAGGCCCTGGGGAATATCTGAGGAAACCCTCAGCTCCCTGACACCCCCTGCAATGACTCTGGGCGTCGGGGGAAGGTGGGATTAGCCTGCCCCTCTGGTCCGTCAATCAACAAGTAATTGTGAATTTATTGTTATTGGTCCCTTCCCACTCTGACAGTCTTGAGAATTCTACTCTGAGATGACAGAGAAGTTGGAAGGTAGGAACCATGGCAAGACAAAAGGGAGGAGGATGTAGTCTATAGGACAGGATGTCAAAGCTGGGAGGGGCCGTAGAACGGGGAATATCAGAGCTGGGGGGGGGGCTTAGAACATGGAATGTCAGAGCTGGGAGGGGCCTTAGAACAGGGAATGTCAGAGCTGGGACGGGCCTTAGAACATAGAATGTCAGAGATGGGAGGGGCCTCAGAACAGGGAATGTCAGAGCTGGGAGGGGCCATAGAACATAGAATGTCAGAGCTGGGAGGGGCCTCAGAACAGGGAATGTCAGAGCTG